ACATACTTCGTCGAATCTTCTAGACATATTTTCAAATTTCTCGTCGTTTTGTCTAGCTGTTTCTTTGATAATTTGAGAAGTTTCTTCGATCATTTGAGACGTTTCATCGAATCTTTTGGAAACAGTCTCGAATTTTTCATCAATTATTTTAGTTAAAACGGCTTCTTCCGCTGACTGGAACTGGAATGTCTCTGGGTCGTCTCCATTCTTGTTGAGAACGGTCTTCAGTCGTTCTTGGAGGATCTTCTTGGACCCGCTGCAGTCTTCATCGCGTTCTTCTAGTTGCTCACGCAACTGTTTCACTGAAAGTTCTACTAGCAGCATCTTTGGTCAGGCACACACGTACTTTTTAAATGTTCTTTCGTACAACGATCACTACTGAACTACGCGGATGTTCCCGACGAACAATACCTTTCAAAAGTTCAAAAGTCTTTTTCAAAAATCAAATTAAATTTATCTACGATCCCACTTCTGCACCACTGTGACGTCTTTTTATTGCTCTAATTTATTTGTCTTTATTCTAATTTATTGTCTATATTCTAATTTATTAAAACTCACGATAACTAATTACGAATTTATTAAAGTCTTTATTAATCCTAATTTATATTACAAATAATAATTTATGTTTCGTTACATTTAAATATCGCGGTTTCCGAGCTTCTTATGACTGACTGCCAAATAAAAATCTTTCATTTATATACACAACTGTGTCATCTAGAGAATTCGGCGGACTTCTTGAATAGTCTCGTATTTTGGTGAAGGCGCTCGACTCGTTTTTCAACCTCGAGACGTGGATGACTCACTAAAATTAGTGTCTAGAGATTTCTGGTAAACAACTGGTAGCTAAGCTCAGGTATATTTTGACCTACAAATTACGAGAATCAATAAAAAAGAATTAGTCATAAAATATTTACAGTTCTATATGCCATAACATTTAAAATCGTAACAAAAGGTATCAACTAACTCCTGATTAGAATTAAGCACTTGTTAATCTACTCAGAGTCACTTTTATCACTAGTATCACTAGTATCTTCTAAATTTATAGTAAGTTTGGTTAATGCTGGTAAATAGTTAACTTAGTCATTTTCCACTCCGATTACATATTTGTGATTTCTCTTCTAATTAACTGGAGAACAGTAGACGAAAAAAAAAAAGAAAACAGTTGAGCCCATATTAACACTATTGGGTTCAATGTACAATAATATGAAGAAAATCTAAGCATGATATGCCCGTAACTGCGAACATATTTATCAACAAAATATTTCTTCTGATAGTGTCTACTATGAGCAACCCCCAACAATTACTTTTTACTATATGATGCCTTAAAATACAAATCTTCGTCAAATAAAAATTCCCGATTTTCATAAATCAAATGCCTTGGACTGATCACAAAGTAAATATCAAAGCCCACATGTACAGAGTGTGGCAAACTACTTGGGATTATACTGCCAACAAACTCAAAGAATGTCAGTCAGAAAGTCAAGTAGGAACCAAACTCATCTTATCAAATAATAGAAAAGACCAAGTTATTATCAACCGACTCCGAATAGGACATACTTTCCTTAACCACAATGTATATCTTCAACCAGGGGACTGCTCCGATATATACCAAGTGCAACACTCAGTTGTCAGTGAAACATATAATTGTTGAGTGTCCAGTGTACCAGAACGAAAGAATCGCGTGTGCCCTTAGTGAGAATTTAAAAAGTGTACTAACGTCAAATTTACAGTCTTTATTACGTTTTCTTAAAATGACTAAACTATATACGAGATTGTGGAAAATATTTTTTTTATGTAATAGTATGTATCTTACTGTTTGTGTATGTCCCCCGGTAATAACCCTTAGTGGTTGATGCGGGTATATTGTTTTAAATAAAAAAAAAATCCTGAATTTGTAATTTGTTTCAAGTTATATTTGGAATATTTCTCATTATTCTTAAATGGTATGATGCGTTTCGGCGAAAACGCCGAAATAATACTTTTACACAAGAAAGGAGACACTACTAATATTGAAAACTACACACCTATAAGTTTGTTGTCACACTTATACAAATTGTTAACAAGAATAATAACCAACCGCATAACACAAAAACTTGATTTATATCAACCGGTTGAACAGGCGGGATTTAGAAAAGGGTTTGGTGCTAATGATCACTTACAAACCAGCAGAAAACTAGTAGAAAAAACCACAGAATATAATGTACCTTTACATATGGCATTTATCGATTTTCACAAGGCTTTCGATAGTATTGAGACTTGGTCCTTTTTGTCAGCCCTGAAGGATGCTCGAATAGACTCACGGTACACTAAACTCATTAAAAATATTTATGAACAGGCCACATTCCACATTAAAATCAATGAAGACGAAAAAACTGAAAAAATGCGCCTTGATAAAGGTATTAGACAAGGTGATATTATTTTACCAAAGCTTTTTACCTTAGCATTGGAAAATGTATTCAAACAGCTTGACTGGGAGGAAAAATGTCTAAACATTGATGGTGTACGTTTGAGTCATTTGAGGTTTGCGGAGGACATAGTATTATTTAGTACAGATATCAAGGAACTGGAGCAAATGTTGAAGGAATTAAAACAGCAGTCAAATAAAATAGGTCTCAAAATGAACCTTCAGAAAACAAAAATAATGAGTAATTTACAAACTAATCTTGTTATTGACAACGTCAGTCTTGAAAATGTAGACCACTATATATATATATATATATATATATATATATATATATATATATCTTGGACATACAGTTAAAATCGGCGAAAAAATCAAATAGCCGAAATAAAAAGACGCATACAACTGTCTTGGGGAGCTTTCAGCAAATTAAGCTTTATTTTGAAGAATAAAGATATACCAATGTCTAAAACGTAGAGTTTATGACAAATGTATCTTGCCTGTAACTACATATGCACTGGAGAACATGGCCTTTACAAAGAAAACCTTAGAGCAGCTCAGTAGAACCCAAACAGCAATGGAGAGGGCCATGCTAGGGATTAGTTTGAGAGACAGGATTCGAAATAACGTCATTCGTGAAAGAACAAAAATTACTGATGTCTTAGAACGTATTGCAAGGCTCAAGTGGCAATGGGTCAGACACGTTGCCCGAGATAATCCCGAAAAATGGACACAAAGATTAACAAACTGGAGACCAAGAGAGAACAGGCGAGAAGTAGGCAGACCGCAGAAGAGGTGGACAGACGATATCAAACAAGTCACGGGCAAGCAGTGGATGAGAATTGCCAAAAGTAGAAATCGATGGAAGCAAATGGAAGAGGCCTATGTCCAGCAGTGGACGAACACAGGCTGAAGAAGAAGATGATGCGTTGTCCATGACACACATACACTATATTTAGGTAATTTCGGAAGAAGATATTTTTCAAACCAAGGTTGAAAAATTGAACTTTTCATATACTTATGGTAATCTAAAAACGCGTCTTTAATTTATTTTGCTGATATAAATTATACATCGTCGATCTATTCATTTTCTCCACCACAGTGTAAAATTATAATTTTTTCTCCTTTATTGGGCGGTACTGAATTAAAACACTTTTTGTTATTATTCCTTCAACTTTTTTTGACGGTATCATGAGTATCATACCAGGTCTCATCAAAACAAACCATATTTCGTTTTATTTTTCGACACTTAGTTATCTAGCTGATATAATTATTTCTTAAAAAAATTTCTATTACATTACATTAGTGCCTGGAGCTTGTATAAAGTTTTGTACTTAAAACTATTGGCTTAAAGAAATAATCGAAGTGTTGTTGCTGAACATGAGAGATTGTCCTTTTGAACCAAACCACTTCGAAGGCGTTCAATAGTTAGAAAATATTAGCGGCATACATTTCATATCTTGTTCTGATTATAGATTCAATTAAAAGTGGATCTATTTGTCTGAATTTGCCACAATCCTTTCTCCTTTGTCTAGAAGAAGATGTTTCTCCTATAATCTTGTAGCAGGTTGCTTTGAGCACTCTGGTAAATTTACAGTGGTTGCTATTAGACAAAAAAGAGTTTCTGACATTTTCCAAGTTTTTACATGACATACTAGTTAAACGAACAATCGACACTAAAGGTGAAAATATATCTTTGCTTGATATTAAATGGCTAAGATATACCAAGTTGTTTGGGCTAATTCAGTTTAAGTATACCCTTGACGATGAAGCACAATGCATGCTTGCAATATAACTTACAAGACAAGACAAGACAGAAAGACAAGACAAGATTAGAAACACCGAAATAAGACGCAGAACGAAGGTTAGGGATATTGTGGAAAAAATTACAAAAATGAAATGGCGCTGGGCAGGTCACGTAGCCCGATATGATGACAACAAGTGGACAAGAATTCTAGAATAGAGACTAAGATCTACAACAAAAAGCATGAAAAGACCTGAAAAAAGATGGGTAGATGACATAAGAGCAGTGGCAGGCAAACAGTGGATTAGATTGGCGCAAGATATAGAAAGATAGAAGCAATTGGGAGAGACCTACATTCAGGAGTGGATAGAAAATGGTTGACAAATAGAGAGATAGAGAAAGAGCTTGCCTGCGTTAAAACTAAAATGTACCTACCGTCCAGTAAGAAATAATCGTCTTACACAACACCATTGCAGATATTTTAGCAAACCGAATTGCATGCAACATACAGAAAGTATGATATTTATTTGTTGTGAGTGTAGTGTACAAAACATTGATTGAGATATCTGTTTATTGTTAACTTTTGTTATGAATTTTTTATACTTCATTTAGTTTTTTTTACATAATTTTCTTATTCGTAAACTTAAGGTCGTAAATGATCATAACAATAAAGATAATTAAATGTAAAAATAATAAAAATATACCATATAGAAGCCTCAACTGACAATGTACCAGATACTTTATCGATTAGTACTATTCCGAAATAATTATAAACATAATTTAACAATCGGCAATAAATCCCTAATAGAATTGACAAAGACAAAAATCTAAAACCAAATTGAATTTTTAAACTCGCAACTACATCGTATGAACTAGCACATGTCGCTTAAAATTGGTCATATTATACGACGACAATCATTTACACTAATTTTGGTTGAATTGAAGATAATGCGAAGCTAAATACAGTGGTCGTCGATGATTTACTCTCATTAGCTAAGTCGTTAATTGGTTGGACGGTCTTGTATCTTTACTCTTCAAAATGGGATCGAAAAAAGTAGTGATAAGTGTGGTGTGTTTAATTTTAGTTTTAGGTATATCATCTTGTTTAGCAGATAGTGACGATATTGAGGATTGTGGTAAGCTTTTTAGCCTTAAGATTAATGTTCGTTTAGCTAAATAGTTTTTATTCTCTCATATACATGCATTATAAAATATTAGTTTAAACATTGAATTTTCGGTAGTTAAATTATCTTTTTACTATTCTGAAGCTATTCTCTTCTGACATCTTAATTAAACTTAATATTTTTATTGGGAATAAGTAACAATTTTACTTTCAAATAAGTTTTTTTTGACATCTCGATTTCCAAAGTGTAAATCAAATCGTCAAAATTATTTTATAATAAAATTGTAACTTATTCCCAACAAAAATAGTAAATTATATTGTTTACACATGTTAGTATAAATATCACAATTTTTTGCATCATTATTTTCTAAAAATCTTGTTTATTTTTTGTAGCGTTTTTAAATTTGTAGATTGTTCGTTTTCCTCTTCTATACTATTCGTATCCATAACGATTTTTTTTCGGCAATTTCACATGTTGTCCTTATGTTCTTTTATTATTTTTTAATAATGATAGGAAGCGATGAGTATCAAATTAAGTTTTTTAAAGTTTTAAGACTGTTTTTGATTAGTAATGAGAAAGTACTAATAACTGGAATATGTAACTAGTAGGTTGTTTTCTCTTTTACGTTTCTAGATCAGAGAACGAACGATTTTTTCATAATACTCGTTGATAGAGATATCTTCTAACGTTATAACTAACTCCTTTTGATAAATTTGGTACTAACACTATGTAATTAAAAAAAATATTAAACATAATTTTTTACTTATAAACAATATATAAACAATAGATGATATACTATTTATTTTACTAAACAAGATACTATTTATTTTAAATAATTTATTTTGCTAAGAAAGCAAATAAAAAATATTCAAAATTTTAAAAATACAAAAGAAACATTCGATTTTACGTAAATTTCAAAAATATTGTTCTGAAGCTATTTTCTTGTGGCATTGTAAATTAATTACTATTAAACTGGGAATAAGCCACAATTAAAGATAAAAATACGTTTATTGACGTTTCAATTTCCACTTCGGAAATCGTTCTCAAAATACAAACAGTAAATTAAACAAATTTTGTTTTTTGTTACATAGTGAAAAATTCTTCTAATAATTTAATTTTATCTGACTCATTTATATTGACAATTTAGACATACATTATGCATTTTAAAGTAGACGACTTTAAAATGATATTGCCAATATTGTTGAGTTGCGCTCCTGGGACGACTTCACTTATAAGATAGTTCATTCGATTACATGAAATCAACTTTAACTTGAGAATATCCGTCAGAAAAAAATCATAGCATGTAATTCGTCTTTAAAAAGACAAGCACATGACATGATGACAGAACAATTCTCCTGTTATTGATTCCATAGTAAATTATGAGGGAAAAACCAGGAAAAAAACCTCATAATACTATCCCGACATTGTAAGTATTTGTTCGTGAATTTAGTTTACCTTCAACAAACATCAAAATTCTGATTTTGTATGTTACGTTATTTAAAAAACATAAATGATGTATCCTCTATATGTTACTGACTTACTAATACTGGTATTTTCTTATTAATAACTTCCTTTTTCAATATTGGTAACCAGATCCTACTACATTCTGCCGAGGAATTTGCGACACAATTGGCCTCATTTAGCATAATTAGAGCCGCTTCTTTGATTTTTCTTTTTTTACCATCCGTTTCTTTTAGGACTATATTTGAATTATTCCATTGAACCCTATGTTTATTATCCCATGCGTGTTTACGGATTTGAGATCTATCAAATTCTCTATTTTTAATATAAGATTGATGTTCACTTATTCTAACATTTAATGGCCTTAATGATTCACCTAAATAAAACTGATCGCATTCACAAGGTATTTTATAAATGCAATTCTTTGTCCTTTCTTGTTCACTGTTAGGTTTCGTTTTGGACAAAATAGATCTCAACGTGTTTGTTGTTTTGAATGTTGTTGAAATGTTGAATTTATTTCCTATCCTTTTAGGTTTTTATAACAATACCGTACATAAAAGGACTATCAGAAAAACTTAAAAGGATAGGAAATAAATTCAACACGGATATTCTCAAGTTAAAGTTGATTTCATGTAATCGATTGAACTATCTTATAAGTAAAGTCGTCCCAGGAGCGCAACTCAACAATATTGGCAATATCATTTTAAAGTCGTCTACTTTAAATGCATAATGTATGTCTAAATTGTTAATATAAATGAGTAAGATAAAATTAAATTATTAGAAGAATTTTTCACTATGTAACAAAAAACAAAATTTGTTTAATTTACTGTTTGTATTTTGAGAACGATTTCCGAAGTGGAAATTGAAACGTCAATAAACATATTTTTATCTTTAATTGTGGCTTATGTCCAGTTTAATAGTAATTAAATTTTAAAAAGTTTCACTTAACAGTACTTACAAAATTGAAATTTTTTATCTTAAAAAGCTTTTATCTAAAACAATATTATGCATAATCTATAGGTTCTACGTTAATTCTGAAAGCATCCAATTAAAGAAAAAGGCTTATTTTGATTAAATTAAATAATTTAAAATTAAAAAGTTTATGTCGAAGATTGGTAAATAGGTTTTCAAAAGTACTGTGATTTTAAGCTTATAAAGAATTAAAATAACCCAGAAGCAATAACAGTAGAAAGTTAATAATATCATTTTAATATATACGTTTTTTCTTCCATGAAGTGTTATATACCTGAAGTTTACCGTTCATTATATAATTTTTTTTTAAATGTGTAGTTGGACATATTGTTGTATACCTCTAAAAACTGTTTTATATAATGTGACATTGCATGTTAAGGTCTCTATGAAATATACAAAACAAACACATTGAAAAGCGTATACTATTATTTTATTAGAAATACATGTTATAATAATTAAGTAAAATTATAGACGACAAGTCTCAAAATTGTTAAAAAGGCTCCATATCATCTTTATCTTTTTGGGGTTAATCGTTTGTAGCTACATCGGTATGTGTTAAATTTTGATAATACACATGACAATGCGACGGAACAGAAGTCAGTAGTGCAATTGAGTCATTGTAGTTTTGTTTAAGATTGGTAATTGGATTACTAAGACTTGATTTAATTGGGTCGGAAACGTTACTTGCTGTTTTTGATACCTCATGAAGTCCACCTCATACATATGTTGATTATTGAAATCTGTCTGGTAAAAGAGCTTTACCATGTATTCTTGTTGGACTTGTAAGAAAACACATGTTGACAGTTGAACAAGCTCTTTGTTAACGTTCTTTTTTCTACTTCCAAGAGGAGGATTAGTTGACAATTTCTTATTGAACAGCGTTTTGAAGTTTTTGAAATCTGCAAGTTCCATATTTTGCATTGTGTATTTATCTGATGTTTGCCTAACTAGCTGTTGCCAGTACCATGGTGCCCAAATCCCAAATTGGAGAGTTTCTTTATTTTTCTCTCGATCAAAGCAAGAACACTGTCTACTTCCATATGTGTATGCTCTTTCAGTAAAAACTTTTGAGTGATCTTATTTATTTGAAGGAAAGTATCCAGTATGCAAAAATAGCACATTATAATTTTAATATTATTATTTTGTCAATAGCAGTTATCGGTCCAAAGAGTAATGTTCTCTACTTGACTACCTGTAACTGTATTGTGAGGCCTTTTCAAAATTTGCCAGGCAATTTCATTTGCATAACGGGCCCCTTTCGATTGATCCCATATCATAGACTGTAAAATTTAATGCTTAAAGATTCTTTTTGTAAAAACTAATACAATTGTTTGTTTGCAGTAAATGCAAACATTCTTGCAAAACACCAGATAGTACCATGTATTTTGGCGACTCTTTAGCCATTATAAATTCAACCATTTTAAGTTATACCGAGTTTTAGATTCAATTAGGTGAGTATCATGATCAGCCTGTACACTGGTTATTTCATCTGCAGTAAGATTCTTTTTTAATAGAACGGTGAATGTACTGCATGTTTCGCAAGTATCTATTTTGTGTGTTTTAAACGACAACTTGAAGTATTTATTAAAAATATCTGCGTACAACCACTTTTTTTCTCTTAGCTTTGGATCCACATGCCTTTCATTGTACAGTTGATGCATCTTTTCTATTTTAGATATACAAAGTGTGTTTAAACACGTAACCTTGCACATCTTTAATCGCTGATTTTTCAATGTAAAATGGTAGTGTAGTGTATTATTTTTAGATTTGGTAAAGATTGGGTCTCTTTTTCTTGATCGAAGAGTAGGTTGAATGTCGACATATAAGATGATAAATTGCTTTTTAACATCTGAAATGTGTGTCTCAATCCAGTATGAGTTGATTTTTTGTCTTTCGTATTCTGGCAATCTTTTAGAGCATTTCATGTGACACATACAAGAAGGCTTTAACATTTTTGCAGGTATGTCTTCACCTCTATTACTGAGATACTCTTTTACCAGCTATTTTTAGTTTGCGAATATTACAGGCCCAATTTTGTTCATTCATTACACGTTTTTTACCTTTTTGTTTGCACTTAGTTACATTTTGTACCTTTCTTTTGACACTTTCCTCTTCTTTTAAAATACCTTTCTGTTATTATTGGAATTGCCTGTATATTGTTTAGAGATAAATTGTCCTTAAGAAGATTTTTTGTTATTGCCCCACTAGTCGTAGGAGTAGTATTAGCTTTCTCTTTTACCTTTGTTTTCGCAGGTTTATCTATATGTCTTACATCATTGTCGTCTGAGAGTTCAGATTCATTTTGCACTTATTAAACAACAGATGTGTTGTAAATCTTTTAACAATATAACACGATTGCGATATAAATAAAATGGTTACAATTATTTTCGGTGTTCTCGAATTGAGGACCGCTACCTGAACAGCTAAAATAAGTGCACCGAAATGAGTAAGGAAATACTTAATAACAAAATATTATTTTAGATTTAGTATATTTTGAAATGTCTTAAAAGGTAGTTAAAATGAGTTAAATTAAAATGATCTGAAGTGAAAAGGGAAACTTGTTACTTGTGTTGAATGAT